TCTTCCGCGGCCTCCGCGAGGTGACCAAGAAGCACAACGTCCTCCTCATCGTCGACGAGGTCCAGACCGGCGTCGGCGCCACCGGCAAGTTCTGGGCCCACGACCACTGGGACCTCCCCACCCCTCCCGACATGGTCACCTTCAGCAAAAAGGCCCAGACGGCAGGCTACTACTTCGGAAACCCCGAGCTGCGCCCCAACAAGCCCTACCGCCAGTTCAACACCTGGATGGGCGACCCGGCCCGCGCCATCCTCTTCCGCGCCATCGTCGACGAGATTGAGCGCCTCGACCTCGTCAACAACACCGCCCGCGTCGGCGACTACCTCTTCGGCAAGCTCGAGGGTCTGGCGAGCAAGTACCCCGGCCAATTCGCCAACCTCCGCGGAAAGGGCCAGGGCACCTTTATTGCCTTTGACAACCCGCGCCGCGACGAGTTTCTCAAGAAGGCAAAGGGTATGGGCATCAACATTGGCGGATCGGGCGAGAGCGCCGTCCGTCTGAGGCCCATGCTCATCTTCCAGGAGCACCACGCTGATATCCTCATTGAGGCCCTGGAGAAGATTGTCAAGTCTTGGTAAAATAAAGAAAAAAGTCAGTAGGCTCAAGTAAAATGGTTGAAATGTGGCTCATGTTGTCTGGGTGTTTTTTATGGAAGCATTATCTGCGATTGGGGGTTTCATCTGGTCAATATTATGATTTAGCGTATGAGTATTAGTAGTCTCTGAACAAAACAAGTTCACAAGAGGACATTTTGAAAAGAAACGATTTCTACAATAATGCCAATCCTTCATAGTTCATAGCTTTCAAGACCGGCACTTGGCGGTCCGGTTTGTGTGACTCCCGCAAGATTTGCACGCCCATCCGAGCGGAAATGAGACCATGTATCCCAGGTCCTACCATATCGTACACTTCTCTGTCATGTCCAGTCCATATACCTCGTCCCGTGGTTACACGTCTGTCTCCCCTGAACTCCTTGAACCAGATGAAAAAGGCAAATAACCACCTCACACCGCCTTGTTCTGTCCACAGCCGGCATATGCAAAATGAAATTAAAAAAAGAAAAAGTCCGACAACGCCATAAGCTCTAGAAATACACATCCATTGTACCAGACAACTGCTGCACAGGATGGGCCAAGAAGGTCTTGTACTAAGCCGTCGCTGGCAAATCAAAGGCCGTACAACGGCCATGATGAGGCTTTGCCTTTTCAGGCTGTGGTTTCGAAGGTGTAGCAGTGGATGGATGGTTTCAAATCATCATCGCACCAGGCTCGTCAAGAACTGCTAACTCGCCAGCCCTTCTTGTTGTAAGTGGCCAATATTCGAGATGGCCTTTTCCTTTTGCGAATCCGACACATTTTCGTCCTCGTTGTAGGCATCTCTGGGTATGTCATCAGATTGCTGGCGCGATGATTCACTTGGTGTTGACCGCCCAGACTCTGTCTTGGTTTGTTCGCCTGTGGAAGTGCCCTAGGGTGCGGATCAGGACTTTGAATCAACTCGCAAAACCATGTCCACTCACCAACTGTGTCCTGCCAAACGACTTTGGCCGACCTCGTCCTCGCCTTGTTGGCTCGTTGGCGGCCTCAGAAGGTGGACCGGGTGATAATCTGTACACGGCGAACTCTCCTGGTGTTGTTGGGCTTTCCCTAGCTATCGGCCGGGGCGCCGGCGCCAGAGGTGTAAGGTGCTGCGGCAGCAAAGGTCGTAGTTGTCTCGCCTTGTCCGCCCGTGATGGTCGACCTCGTTTCCGCGGGAGCGGCGCTTGCTGTTGTTGGCCGGGGCTTTGAGAGCCGTTGGTCACCCCGGCGATTTCCATGCCGGCGGGTCGCGGCTGTATGTTGGCAAGCTGCTGATTATGCAGCTGTGGAGGCGCTGGCAATAACGACGATACGGGCATCGAGCTTGAGTAGGATGCGAGGCCTTGAGTTGCTGAGGCCAAGGGTGGTAACTGCGCTGGTGGCTCCATAGGCGATGCGGCAGCCAAACGCTTTGGTGGCTGTTCGAGGAGGTCGTTCATGGACTTCCGCTTGAGGTCTGGCACCCGCATGGGACCTTGAAACATCTGCTCGGTGACCGCGAGACATTGTCCCATAGTGCGGCCTGTATGGTAAATGTCAGCATGAAACCTGGAGTTCGTCAAGGCTGACGATCCGTACCGCTGGGTAACTGCATCTTAAGCCAGTCTGGCTCGACATTGTGCGTTTTCAAAAACCCCACTAAGAGGCCAACATCTAGGCTGCTGTTCTTGATGGCTTCCGCGAGGATGAACCTCTGCCGTCGAGATGCGCGTCAGTGTCGATGGTCCGTAACTGGATGAAGACCTGCTGCTTACCTTTTCCTCCTCTGTAAAGGAGTAAGCCATCGCGAGAAGGGCTGGTAACTACCCGTACGGTTTTCATAAAAGAGAGAGATCTTGGACCGTAGAGGAGACGAGATAGGCATCTGCGACGCGGGGTTCTAACAAACGAGCGGATCGGCTATGCTAGCCGGTGGTGACGGGCGAAGAGTTACTGGGTAAACAAATATGGCAAGAGACAGGACGCAAAGCGCGCGTCCGGTGTCGACAGAGCCGGCACCGTCGACTAGAAGAGTCCTGTGACCAAGTAATCAACCTATATGGAAGGCAAGCGCGGCGGCGGAGAACAAAAGCTCGCGGCAAAGACGGAGAATAAGCGACGCCAGTATTCCTCTGGCACCGTTAGAAGAGAACGTCGACGGCTGCGTCTATAAAGACGAGACGCAATGAGAAGACAGAAACAGCCGGTGAAGAGGGAAGCGATCAGGCCGGCGCAAGCGCGCGTTCTCGACCTGAAGCCACCGTGAAGAAGGCCTCGCACCACAACGAAGTTGACGGGATGTTGGACGAGGCGCAATGAGGGGGGGTAACACAGCCTGGACAGGCCGTGTAGGAGGAAGTGGAGGCTTCGATTGTTTCGTTTGCTTCTGGGACCTAGGCCACTTTGCGACGAGGGCCTGCACGGCGCGCACTCGGGGACTGGCTGGTGCGACTAGGGTCGGGGTCGCATTTATCAGGCGTGTTTTGCGCGCGAGAGAGCCTGGGGGAAACAAGCGAGACAGGTTTGCCGAGAAGTCAGTTACGCGTTAGGCCTGTCTGGGAGACCTTCCAGGGTACTGGTTCTGTTGAATTCTGGTATCCGAATGGTAAGTTGGTCCGGCTGCTCGCAGCAAGGTTTAAAGGTCGGAGAGTTGCAAGGTGTTAGTTCTAGTAGTTAGCCTCGACTCGAACGGCGGGCGAGGCGGGCACTGTTTGTGTTGAGATCCGTGATGACGAGAGGGGAGTGTATTCTGGTCAGTCGTGATTTCTGGGAAACCTTTCGAGGCAACGATATCATGCGCAAAATGGATTAACGATTCGTATCTCCCAAAGTGCCTTTGCCTTGTTGGATGACCCTAGTGTAGAGTTGCAGTGTCCGAGCGAGGGTGGCTGGGGAATGCCCGCAGATCTGTCGACTGATGGCGATGACTGTCAAAAAGACGGCAGGCTGCGGCTCATTCATTAGGGCCCCGTCTGGAATGAGCAAAGCCTAGACCGGCGGGGAGGAGTGCCTGCTTAGGTGACGAAGTCGAAGCCGAGATGGAGTGCAGAAGATCGAATAGGAACACAGGCCGATTTAGCGTTTCCGGGAGAATTGTCAAGGCCGCTTCGTCTTGGACGGTAAACCAACTCTTTCTCGCTCGCCAACCGTTGATGATGGACTATCGCTGCACCGCCAATCTAGTCGGAAGTTGACGCTAGACAGTGCGCACACAGAGAGAGAGAGGGAGGTGGGTTGAGTTGGTGGGTGGTATGGATGCTGAAAGTTGGCGCAAGCTGCTTGTAGGTGCATACGAACAGTCGAGAATCCAGAGGCTAGAATCAGGTTGAGAGCGCAACGACAAAGTGGTGGTGTGGTGTGGTGTGGTGTGGGAGTGATGAGGATGTTTGACTGGCGTTGTAGTCATCGTCCGCATCGGCTGCTCTTTGGGTGCGTCTTTGTCCATGTCAGGATGTCGTTGAGAAGCTCCTGTCTGCTTTTGTCATTGTCGCCGTCGCCGTCGCTGCCGCTGAATGCCTCTCGAAATCCTATACTACCCTATCTCGTCAGGGTTTCCCGTCCCTGGGCTGAGCTGTCTCTTGCGGCTGGCTTCTTTCGTCTTCCCCGGCAGTGGCTTTATTCCACGCGCCTCTCGCGCCTCCGATTCCGTCGCCGCTTTCTTGCTTTTTTGTCGGCAACCAACCGCATCCTTCTTGGCCATTTTCCCTGCGCATGTCTCACCAGTCCCCCAAAGTGGAAGAGGGTCCATTTGGTTGGCCGACAGGCACACCAAGACGGCCTCAACTGGGCCTCTTTCGATCGCATTCGAGTTCGAGAACGGGGTCCGTCTCTCGTAATAGCTCGCAGGTTGATTCTCACTGGAGGCATCCGTAGCTACCCATCATATCACATATGACTGCATACGCTGTAGCTGTAGCTGTGCGCTGCGTTGCGTTGTGGGCTCTCCTCTTCCCTATGGTCGGTCTCCGATATGCAATCGACAGAGCATCCATCCCTGTCTCCCGCCCGTCCTGCACACATGCTTCGCTGCAGCACGGTCCCTCTGTCATGGTGCTAGTGGCCTAGCACTGGGCTGAGATGAGCCAGATGCAGGAGCGGTTCTCTGCGGAATGGGAGAGCAGCGTGCAGATGTACAAGTAGATGCAGTGCGATTCAAGACTCTCCCTGGAGGTTGCGTCCGCTGGCCAATCCGGTGGATCGACATGGAGCGCCTGACTCTGGGTCGCTGCCACTTGCAGGACGTCATTGTCGTGGTGTTGGCCGAAAGCATGATACTCCCTGCTTGGTCATAATAAGAGACGTAAGCTTAAATGAGAAATAAAGTCGACCGTGAGGATATTCGTCAGCACTAGCCAACAGTTGTGATTATGTCTGCGAGTGTTGAGGTCAAGATAGAGAAATAAGTACCGTAGGAAACGTCGCTGCCATCGCCAGCGACTGACTTCAGTCCAGCGTGTATTCGATTCGGCGCCACGAGGAAGGTGTGCTTGAATTGGGATGCGCCGGCCCCTCCTTCCCTTCCCCACCAACTAGGTTCGGCGAGTGTTCCGTCAGCAGGCGCCGCTTCTCGTCGTTCCTTCCCATCTCCATCTCAAAGGCCGGCAGTGCGTCATCCCATTCTCCCCTCACAAAATGCGCGCCGTTTGCCCCCAACATTGGAACATCAGACGTCCTTTTTGACGACAAAGACAGCAAAGGAAAAAAAAATAAAAAAAAATAGATCGACGTACGACCGAATAAGGATATCTGGGCATCCTAGTGCCCGCGACAAAGTGGCAGTTCATCGCCCTCATTGGCCGCAGCACACTCAGGCCCAGTCCTATGCCACCTCTGGCAGGAAACCACTGGATTCCCTTTACGCCAATCATGGACCAAAACCGGCATCCGAGCCAGCACAGGGCACGGGTTCGTCACATCGTTCCGCTGTCAGAGAGCCGCAGCAAAAGGCAGCGCCGCATCTCAGTGGGCAATGGACTGAGGGCTGAATTTCCCTCCCGCCGATTGCTGCGTGCGGCGCCGCGGCCCAATCTGTGACCCCAAGGCAAAGAATGTCGATGTATCCGTGGTGGGGCTGAATCAGCAAAAATCCCAAGATGCTTCACAACTTGCGCTCGATAACGATAACGACAATGACAACAATGATGAGGTCAGGTCGAATATGAGTCGGATTGGACGGGTCGACGGATTGGATTTCACTTTACTGGGTCGCTGCGTTCGTCCACCGCCTCTTTATACCTACTGCCCACCTTGGCCACTTCATCCGGCTTCAGCGACGTCTTTGCTGCACAATGAGCTGGCATCCTCCCACTGGAAGGCCCCACCCATGTACAACGCGTCCATGTAAATGGCTCCGCCGTTTCCAGATGGCAGCAAACTACCTAGGTCGGCTGTCACTAGCAGTCGAGCATGCCCGAAGCTGGGTACGGCCACTACATGCTGGCTCTTCCATGCAACGGCATCGTTGCCACACAGTGAGGTCTGCATCACATCGCTGGGTTTCGTGCATCATGTTGCTTCAAACTACCCTTACCCTTTAGCTCCTGCTCACATCTTCTCGGCAGCTCATAATCGGTACGCTAGCAACTCGTCGGGCTGCGCAGGTTGTAGTCGACTAGTTGACTATCGGATGAACATGGTTCAGTGGCAATGTTCTTCTATGGAGACGGCCTGGGTGGCTCGACTGTAGGTCCAAGTCGTCGATTCTGGGTCTCCTCCAAGATACATTTTGACTGAATTTGGCTGATGCTCGATACCACATGGTGGTAGTATTAGCAGTAGAGGCGAATGAATATCTAGCGACTCACCGTCTCCGCATACCACTTGGTGCAGATAAGCCTCCGACCTAATCTGGTACTCTCAATGCTCAGGGGTGTTCCTTATGTGGGATATAACAGAGACCAGCTGCAAAGTGTCGGTGAGGAATAACCCAAAACTGAGTTTCCTGCTTGTAATGAACCCCAGCTTACGCATAAAATTGCCGATTGGTGCGCCTTTTCCGACCATACCGTCTCTCACCTTTGCCTTCTTTCATGTTTGTGTGGTTTTTACATTCTTTGGGCTGTATTTTGGGAAGATATCAAACTCTTTATGGCGGGTTTCCAACATGCGTCGGCTCGCCTACCCGCAAGGAATTGCGTTTTCCAGAGCGAGGAACAGACCTATATGCATGCAACATGTACGATTTCCAAGGTTATGAATGGGTACCGCCACTAGATATCTCTACAGGCGAGAACACAACTAACACAGTCTATATCACCTGGAGTTGGGATCGAAAAGCAAAGCTCGGTGTGCTCTTCCGGAATAGCGCGTTGGGCAATTGGGCAATCATGAATTCATTGTGGCTTCAGTGACGTGGGACTCAACGAGAGAACTTGAAGCATCCCGTTCGTAAGTACCGTGGTACTTCGTACCGGCTGGGGTCATATGGTGGGGTTTATTCAGACGCAGCCATTGGGCAGATCTCCCGCATGCTATTCCTGGGGAAGTTGCGATCGAATTTCAAAAGGCCAGGCCTCGGGGCTCGGCGGTAGATATGATCCGAACAATTTGCACCACCGGTCGGATCGGGGTGCTGGCCGTGATTGACAATGGCTTACAGCTGTTGGCGGTGCTCCCAGGCTCAACCACAGGGAAGTGGCTAGGCTCTTAGACCCCAAGCCCAAGCGCGACGAGCTGAGTGGCTGCGCACCTTCGGAAACTGGTGCTGTGAGATAATCCTCGCCAGTGTCCGCCGTCCTTTGCGACTTCGTTCTGGATTCACTACAACTTTTTTTTTCCTTCTCCGGGCGCTCTGTCGGCCAAACCAACAGCCCTTCTCTGGCACATCATATATCACGCAGGAATTCAACAGCCCCAATTGTATCTCCGGCACGTCGAGCGACTGTTTGCAATGCCGAGAATCTCTGGCTCCAACTAGTAATCGCTTCACCACCCAACGCGCCGTCGCCGCCTCTCGCAACTCGTCCCCCCCGTTTTCTCTCTCGCCTTCCCGTTCCTTCTTTCCTTCCCCACCCAACACAACAGCTCTTGCCCCTACATGCGCACCGACTTGGCTAAATCGCAAATTGCTCATTTTCCACCTCTCGATTTTTCTCTGAGCATCCGTCGCTGCTCGAGGCTTTGGACGACACGAACCGCGAATACCGTCACACATCCCTCGTCTCGCGCGCTCGCCCTACCGAGGGTTCCCGCACTTGCTTGATGGAGGATGAAGCGCTGGCGACGGTGAAGATGGAGGAGGTAAAGATTGAGGATGGTGTCCCGCCAAATGGCGTCAACATGGAGCGAGATCCAAGCAGGACATCGGCGCAGAAGAGGAGCAACCAGGGGTCTCGCTCTGCTAGCATGTCACCCAGTGAGGGCATGGTCAACAGCGAAGGCATCTCGACGCCAGGAGGCACGCAGCGACCGAAACTGTCACGCAAAGCATCGCAGAAGCCCGTCAAGCGCGAGTCGCCTCTATTCCACGATTTGCCAGACGTCACGGAGCAATCGTGCAGTACCTTCCAAGTCATACCCGATTGTCTGTATGGATCCAAGCACATGGGCTCGACCGACAACGATGCCCTCGATTGCGACTGCCGTTCTGAGTGGCGTAAGTTTCCCCGCCCTCCCTCGCTGCTGTGTGAAATCATCGCGAGCCCACTCCTCTAACTGAAATTCGCCTGTCTGCAGATGAAGGAAAAAATTTATCGTGCGGCGAAGACTCCGACTGCATCAACAGGGCGACAAAGATGGAGTGCCTCGCTGGCGCCGGCAACTGTGGTGATGGCTGCCAAAATCAGAGATTTCAGCGGAAGCAGTTCGCCGATGTTTCAGTGATCAAGACGGAGAAGAAGGGCTTCGGCCTCCGCGCCAACGTTGATATGCAGGCTAACGACTTCATTTTCGAGTACATTGGCGAGGTCATCAACGAGCCAACCTTTCGACGACGGATGATACAGTACGACGACGAAGGCATCAAGCATTTTTACTTCATGTCGCTGACCAAGCACGAATTCGTTGATGCGACAAAGAAGGGCAACCTGGGGCGCTTTTGCAACCACTCATGCAACCCGAATTGCTACGTCGACAAATGGGTCGTCGGAGAGAAGCTGCGCATGGGCATTTTCTCCTCACGCAAAATCAAAGCCGGTGAGGAGTTGGTGTTCAACTACAATGTTGACCGCTATGGGGCCGACCCCCAACCCTGCTACTGTGGCGAGTCGAATTGCACTGGATTCATTGGTGGCAAGACCCAAACCGAGCGGGCGACCAAGTTGCCCCTTACTACAGTGGAGGCGCTCGGCATTGACGACGGTGATGCCTGGGACACAGCGGTGGCCAAGAAGCCGCGCAAAAAGAAGCCTGAGGAAGACGACGAGGAGTACGTTAACAGCGTGCAGGCTAGAAGCCTCGATGATGATGATGCGCGCAAGGTCATGGCGACTCTGATGCAGTGCAAGGAGAAATGGATTGCTGTCAAGCTGTTGCAGCGCATTCAGCAGTGTGAGGATGAGCGGGTCATCCACTCCGTCATGCGCATGCATGCCTACCAAATTCTCAAGACAACGCTCAACACCTTTATCGACGACCACAACGTCGTTCTCCAAGCTCTCGATATTCTCGACAAGTTTCCGCGACTGACCCGAAACAAGATTGAGGGCTCAAAGATTGAAGCCACCATTGGTGTACTCACTCAGTCAGAACATGAGGAGGTCAGCGCGAAATCGAAGAAGCTGTTGGACGAGTGGTCCAAATTGGAGCTGGGTTACCGCATCGGGAAGCGAAAGTTTGACCCCAACACATCTGCCACGAACTCCTTCCAAGAGAGGCGCAACATGGATCGTGAAGAGGATGTGACTGCGAAATCGACTCTTGACCCCCTTCAGAATGTCGAAATTCCCAAAGGACCTCGGAGCAACATTCCTCAACGCAACACACATTTCTTCAATGGCCCTCCACGCCAACGAAGACACCAAAACTTCAACGGTCATGGAGCATTACCACTCGGATGGTTTACAGCGACGGATCAGCGTGGGAACACGTACTTCTACAGCAAGAGTGGTGCTACGACCTGGCAACGTCCCACCAAGCCCGCTGACGCTCAAAAGGCGACGCCCAAGGCGTTGCAAGAGCAGCAGCTGCTTAAGAACATTATCGACCAAGTCACCAAGGAGCAAACCCCCAGACCTTCGGCATCACAGACACCTCAACGCGCAGAGACTCCCGTTCAGGAGAATAAGCAGGAAAAGTGGCGCTCTCTTAGCATCGACAAACAGATGAAGATCTATGAGAACACGGTATGTATAACTTCGTTTGAGCTCCTAGTCACATGCTAATGTTCTCTGCAGCTCTTCCCCCACGTCAAGTATGTAGTCGATAAGTACAGACACAAGCTTCCCAAGGACGATCTAAAGCGACTCGGCAAGGATGTCTGCAAGAAACTTGTCTCCTCCGACTACAAGCGCAATCGGATCCAAGACCCCACGACTCCACTTGATCAGAAGCAGGCTAGAAAAGTCAAGGCGTACGTGAAGGACTTCTTGGACAAGGCTATTGTGAAGTTCAGACATCTCGAGAAGGAGAAGGCGATTCCCGAAGGCGACATAAAAAAGTCAAAGGACCCTGCCACTTCGACCAACGAGGAGATTGATTCACCAGCCGACGAAGTTGTGCTGTCCGACAATGAGGACGGCGGATCGGTGGGTAGTCCTGAGCGCAAACGCAAGCGTGAGGAGGAGGCAGCTGAGTCCCGAACCCTGACTCCCTCAGACGAACCATCTGTGAAGCGTCTGAGAGAGTTTGACGCGGATGGTGCAACACCACCGCCTCCACCCCCGCCGCCTCCTGCTGATCCGGCACCTACTGCTACCCCTGAGGAGCCGCTGTCAGAAGAACAAAGGGCTCTGAAGGAGCAGGAGGAGGCTCTCATGCGAGAGAACGAGGAGTCTGAACGCCTGGAAGAAGAAGAGCTTACCAAAGCTATGGATATTGGAAGCACCCTGAATGGTCACCCTCCGGTAAATGGGGTAGGAGCTGTCGATGAGTCCGCCATTGCCAACACCGGCAATGAAGTGGCTCGGCAGCAAGAGGTTATGGGTCACTAGACAAAGCCACGACACAACGCCTACCTCAGGCTTGGGACGTTGTCCTTGGAAGCTAGGGATACCCAGATTGTGCGACTTTCCAACGGAGGTGGGGCGTCAACTAAGTGAACAAGCCGAAGTGAAGGGAACTCTCTCGGCCTTGTATGTATAAGCAGGCATGTTGCATTTTTCTCGTTCTGGAAGGGAACCAGCAGACCCCCACCCAAACAAAACAAAGGATCTCTCAGATACTTTGGTTTTTGTTTAGGGTGTTTTGTTACGATTATAATGTGGATATTTTCGGTCATGGACAAGAAAAAAGAACTGGTCGTGGCCAAGTGAAAAAGCTGTACCTAGGCCATTGTGTCGATTTTTTTTCTTCTTTCTTTTTTTCTTCACCGACACCAAGCCTATGTTGGCTTTTGGGTGGAGTGGGAAGTATGGGAATAGGGCAGCATGGCATCATCCCCGATGGCGGGCGGGCATTGGGTTCTTTTTTTTTTCCCCCAACGAGATTTGGGCACCGTGACGACAAAAAGTCATATCAGGCAATTGGCGTTTTTGTACAAAAGGAAAAAAGGCAGCTAAGAAACATAACTTGAACTAGTAGTAATGGATGTGAATGGAGACCTCGACATTGAAGAATCACGTTTTCTAGTGTATGTTGCAAAGTGACATCTATTCACATTGAGGTCAGGAAAGATGGGGGGCATAAAATGGATATGAACATCAAAGTTATTGCTATTTACCCTTTCTCTCCCTTTGATTCAGAGTGCCTCGAGGCTTCCATTTTGCTTTTATAAACCAGATAACTTTTCCCCCTATTCTCGAAGACCGACTTGACCATCCCATGATGAACGCCACGCCATATATGCCAAGTGCGAGATGCCAATGGGCGACGTAGTAGGCCCAAAACCATATATCCTCTCCTTCTGGACTTGGGCTTGCGCCTCTCTACCCAAGGGGGTTTAATCCTCACCGTCCTGAGGATCCAAGGGGAGTCGAGGTGGGTGAGAAACAAAAGCGAATCCCCAAATGTTGAGTTGCCTGTGGCTTTATATAGGGCCACCAAATTGGAACTCTCCTTCTCTGCCGATCCCAGGCATCCACCTTCCTCCACTAGGCCAGATACACTTCAGACGCTGCTCATGCCTTCCTTCTGCACTTTCATCACGCCTGAAGCGATTCGTCCACGGTCTCTCTCTACTGCCAGACAAAAGGTAGTCAGTTCCTCCTCTGATCTTCCATTCTCAGTCGATTACTGCCCGACCCATCCCCCCGTATCATCAAAGGGCTCCTCCATCTCCACCTCAGAAACCTCATCCTCACTATCACTCTCCTCCCCACCGCGCTTCCTCTTCTTCTTCTGGGAGGGCTGCACCTCGGGCGCCTCGTCCTTGCGCATAAACACAAAACTCCGCGCCGCCCTCTCCTCCCCCTTCCACGCCGCCCCGCTCGCCTCCCCCGTCTTCTTCTCCCGTATCACACCCGCCGTCCGCGCGTGCTTGTAACCCGGGTACGCGCGGGAATGAAACTTGAAGCTCTCCAGCGCCTGTAAGCCCGCGTGGCGGCCGAGATCCTTAACGTTCCAAAGCGTGTAGGGGTCGCCCTCGAATAGGGTCACGACGATGGTGCCCTTGGGCGCCAGGCTGGGGAGGGCCGAGGTGAAGAAGGCGACGAGGAGCTCCTGGTTGTAGCGGACTTGACGGTTGCGGTCGGTGGATTTGCCGCCGACGTGGGGGAAGTTGAAGAGGATGCGGTTGAAGATGCCCGTCTTTGTCGGGGCCGACATGTGGAAGCCGCGGTGGTTCGGGGCAGATTTGCGGGTGAAGGGTTTCATGGAGCGGGCGTCGATGTTGTAGAGGACCCTATTGTTGTTCTGGACGGGGGGTTTGTATTTCTCATCATCGTCTTCGTCGATTTCCTCCTCCTCCTCTTCCTCTTCTGCTTCTGGTGACTCGGCCTCGGTGGGTTCCTTGCCGTCGTTCCCGTCGTTCTCGGCGTCGTCCTCGGCATCGCCCTCGCCCTCGCTCTTTGCTGCTTTTGACTTGGTAGGTTTTGTGGTAGCGGCGGTCCCGTTGATCTGCGCAATGTTCTCCGCGGCCTGGGGGTACTTCTCCAGCAGCTCCCGCTCGTTCTTTTCGAGGACCGTCGCAGTCAGGTTACGGCAGCCATGGTGTGTTGCAAGACTCGCTGCGAAGCTGAGGTCGCCCTCGCCGATCAGCAGGATGGCGTCTTCCTTGGAGAACGGTATCACAGGCTCCTGGTTCTGGTGGTACTGCTGTTGCGCCTTCTTCTTCTTGGCGTCGCTCTCGAGGGCTTGGGCGCTCTTTGGGTTCTTCTTCTTGTTGTTGTTCTTGCCATTGTTGTTTTGCGGTGCGCCTCCCGTCTTCTTCTTCACCGTGTCCACGAAGTGACTCTTGTGGTTTATCGACCCGAGCTTCCGCTTCTTGGCCATGATGGGTGAGGGGTTGTGAGAGAAAGGCTGGTGGCTCGGCAGGGGAGGTATGCGGCGCAATGGGTGGCCGGGTTCACGGTCCGGGCCGTTTCTTGGTGTTCGTGGACTAGGTTAGGTTTTTCGAGGTGACGTCCGGCGTACGGCGTGTATCGCGGTGCAAAGTGGGATGTGGTGGTCGGCGGCGGTGCTGTTGCTACCCGTGTCGGCGCCGGGGGGTGGGAAGGGTGTGTGAGGTATGTACCCCACGCTCTGGTTGTACCGCGAGCGAGAAACTTTTTTTTTTGGCCCTGCTCTTCCCGGGGCTCTCTTTCTGCCGTATCTTTTGACTTTTTTGCGACGCTACGGCGGTGAGCACACATGGCGCTCTCCGGCGGCTCGGGAATAGACGAGGTTCAGCCGTGGAACGCTTCGGTTTTTTTTCAAGCTCGTCAAGTGTCAGTGGCCTCCTTAGAGACCGACCCCTAGTACGGGGGAGTGGATTGGGCGACACCGAGTTATGGATAACCACAGGGGGGGCTGATGAGAAAGAGGGCGGCGGGAGACGGGACCTGAGAAGGTATCCGGTACATTTGGTGCGCGGGAGGAAGAGTGTGCTGTTCAGGCGCCAGGGGACTCGTGGGCCATGCGCACCCCGGGCGTGCGCCGTGAGATGGATCTTCAAGTTTACAGGTGCTGCAGGGAGGAGCGGGCGAGGAGCTGACTGCCTCGGATCTATCGAACTTGGAAGACACCTCGTCGTACTTCATGGCAGTATTGCTCTTGATAGCACTGAGGGCTGGCCCGGACCCATCTCTGTGCGATCTATTGAACTCATTGCTTTTGGGTGCATGTTTTGGGGTGAGGTGTCTGATGGTGGTTGTTGTTGTTCGTCCCTTCTTCTTAGCGTGGCCCTTATTAGCTAAGTGGGCCGATACTTGGATGAATGAGGCTTACCTGGCACTCCCGAACCTTGAGCAACTGGCGGCTTGCTGTGTACGGAGTACGAATAGTAGGTATCGCAGACGTAAGGGAGGCGAGCATGCCAGTACTATGACTGTGTACAACCCTCCAGAAGAGGATTACTATCATTTGCTGGTCGCCATAAGATCGTGGGTAACGGAGCGCGTATAGAACAACCGCGTGCTTGCTTCAATATCTACGTAATTGAATTTCGTTTATTGTTGCATCATGCCCAGAACACTCGTCGGTGAGCCAGCCATACCAGCCACAGAACAACAACACAAAGCTGCACCTCAACGGGTCCTGGAAAAGAACTTGCAGCCGTCCGGCTGGAGCTCGGGATCTGGTTCAACAACAGGCCCACCCGGACGGGACCAGGACCTGTAAAAGTCGCCCCGTCCGACAGGCTGTCCGACTCGTCCGAACAGCCTGAGGTACCCGAGATTGAGGCAAAAATATCTGCTTTGCCCAGTTTGATAGAGACGACACTGCTCAGAAACAGTATGAAAAACCTATACCAATGGAATATGTGTGGAGCAAGGAAGATGAGCGTATGAAAAATACTCTTTATGTTTGTTGCGCTCTTATACAATGTCGGATGGCATTTACAAAGCGGCTTCGTCATTTCATAATATTTAGAGCCACTTGGATTGGGTCAGGCAGGAAGGAGACGCACATGGTTGATAAGGAGCAGAAGTCGGGGGCCGACCGACCCCATTGCTGTCATCTCCAGGTCGTCGTCGTGATGTCAGACGCGCTTGAGAAATGCTGATCCTGCTCAGAATGACCGACTGGACGTTTGGGAGAAGCGGACAAGAAGGCACGCCTCGGTCTATGGATATTTTTGTACGCACAGAGTAGGTAATCATGCACCTTCAGAAAAGCCAGCACACATTGGGAACACAAACGCAGAAACAGGCAGCCATATGAGCAAGGCAGGTCTTCACCGGTGCAAGCAGGTTCTATTAGTTGGGACAGTGAGACCGCAGGCATTCATCATTGCTCAAAGATGCAATTCTGGCATGCTCGCCTGTTGGCCTGCCAAGTCGCAAATGCCCGTTACGAAGACCCGAGCGAGCCAGCTCTTAGAAAAAAGGCTTACACTCAGATACGCGCAAGGCACAGAGTGAGGTACGCGGTAAAGTACGTGACAGCACCATGGACGGCCAGATGGCAGAATCGTAATGTACCGGGTACCTCTTGCCCTTTTTTGCCAACAGGGGTAGAAGGCTATTTCCGGTTGTCGGATTTTCTGGGCCTCCGGACGAATCAGGGCGCGGCAAATCGTGCCTACTCCTACCAGATCGGTGTAAGTGTGTGCAGCACAGTGCTGGGCTGGGCCTTGCCTTCCGCCTCGCTGTAGCAGGGTGGTCACGTCTGTTCCTGCCTCTGCTGCGCTCCGCCTGGTATTATTTGCAAAAGGCAGGAAGGGGAAAAAAGCGAAGCAATCTTCGTTCCACGCTCGCAATTCAACGTCTCATTCACGCTGGCTCACTCTTACAGCCATCTCTGCGCACGAGTCTCATCTTCACCCTGATCCCATTTATCCCCCTCTCAAGCTGGTCTCTCATTGAGGAATTCCGCTCGCTGCAGAGAGAGGCCAGCCGGCTGTCATTTTCTTAGCCCACACCACTACCATCCCCGTTCAACCCACACACCTTGGTCCTGTTCTCCGAACAGCCAACAACCTACAGACATCTTCAAGTCAAAGCACTTTCTTGACCCCGAGCAATCGCGCCTGCTCACATCTTTTCTGAGATTGACCGAGAATTCTTCGGCCGCTTCATATCTCAGTTTTCCAACCCGTACCGCGCCCCTTACCTAACTCTACCCATCTCACAGACGCCCCCATCTCATTACACCATACCCGCTCTCACTTTTGCCTCCACATACCCCCATTTCCCCCGTCTTCACGTCTCTTTCATGAACGGCCATCGCCATCATGTCAGACGTTGAGACACCGGAGCAGTCTTTTTCGACTCCGACGCCTCAGCTTACCCCCAAGGCCAAGGGCCGCGGTAGAGGCCGGGGCAGAAAAGCTGTCGCGCCTAAGAAGGAGCCTCCCAAACCTGTAGCCACAGCCGGCACTGGTCGACGCGGCCGCTTCAAGCAGTTCTCAGACGACAAAGTCCAGGCAAATTATGAACGGCAACGCGAGCTCAAGGCACAGTACGCGGCTCTCGCTAATGCCGTGAAGCCAGCGCTACAAGATCTGGCATCGCGCTCTATCGACACACTCACAAATGACAAGGACTACCACAAAACGGTGCCGGAATTCAAAGTCATCGAGGACAATCTCGGCGCTCGCTTTGAAAGATCCCTCCTTTACTTGGAGAACAAACTGGCGACTGCCGCCAGAACCGTCTTCAAGTCCAAACATGCCAAGCTCGGCGCCGTTCGCGATATTTTCAAGGTTCGTGAGGCCCCGACTGATATGTCATGTTTTTTTCCCTCTCCCCTGGTCTTCTGCTAACGTCACCCGCGGCATTAGAACGGAGTTGAAGATGCGGAAGACAGATTTTTGGATGCGCAGCTTCATCGCCTCAACCTTCTGGAATACCTTCATGATCATGGTCTTCCTGTTGACGTAAGTTCATTCTGTTCTTCATTCTATTTTTTTCTGCGTATCTCGGTTATTCACACTGGCCTCAGCTCGTCGATGCCGGCTGGAATTATAAGCAAATTTCGGACAAGGAAGCCCAAGAATTCGGCCTCTATGAAGTCTACGTTGACGGAGCACTCGTTCCCTATCCTCAACTCGTCGAAGGCACCGAAGCCCATGCCCTGAGACAGGCTGCTTGGGCGGAGCCACAGACGGCGAAGGAGACTTTGGCGCCGCCTTCCGCGGCAGCGACTGGAGGACGAGTCAGCAAGCGCAAAGCCAACCAACAACCAGATGGCCAGCCGGCCTCCAAGAGGTCTGCTGCCGATGTCGCGCCCGTCCGCCACATTGCTGGTATCATGTCGGCTCAGCATGCTCCCATTGAAGACGAATCGAATGAGAGCACGCCGGTACCTGAGGGTCCGTTGACCGCTGACCAGAGAGAGCCCGCCTTGCCAGCAAAGGCGTCAGAGCCAGATGAATACGGTTGCAGACAAGTCAACCGGCCGACAGCCAAGAATGGAGCGAGTATCGCGAATCGCCTCATTGTTCCTCCATCGTTCCAGTTCGACGACGACGAGATTGGATTCCGTGATTCCACCAACTCCCCTAGGCATGGAGCCACGCTCGCTAAGCGTGGAAAGTATCTCGGCAAGCCAAACTCGAACACCTGGCACTTTGATCCTCTGCTTGCTCGTTGGGATGCTAGAGACCTCGACGAAGAAGACTACGACTTGGAACTTGTCCAGAAGCACGGCACTCATCCCCGATTGGGTTGCTTCCTGCCCACGAGCAAAAATGACTCTGAGCCGCCAAAGCCAGAAGCAGAGCCGATGCATCCTACTGTTTTCCTTACTCCCTCAGGCAAGACCATCCACGCATCTCGTGTCGTCCCCGTTGCAAAGGTCGAGATTGCTCTAGCCGACAAGCCATACTCGGAAAGAATGGGTGCGATTCTCTCTTCCATCTGTGAAAAGGAAGACATCTCTCCCGAAGACATTGAGGGACCTGAGCTTAAGGCTCTTAAGGAAATCTCTGAAGAATATGCCGAGCAAAGACTCATCGCCGAGTCTATCAAGGAGTCCGAGCCCGCGAGTTTGGAGGATACGCCTGCCACTTCGCCCCTCCCTATGAACGACTCTGCCCTCAACATTGCTGGGTTGGAGGAGCTCGTCGTGGCTGCGGAAGCCGTCGAGGCGGAGTCCAAGGTCTTGGGATCTGTCGAAGAGAAGCCGGTGATCCTGCCCGCTCCGACCCCAGTCAGGCCTGCTACCCGTGCTTATGACGCTATTCGCGACATATTTGGAGGGTCCGAATCAGCTGCCGTTGAGCCTCCAGCTCCCGTCCTGGTGCCGGAGCCTATTGACACTACTGCGCTCGCAATCCTCGCAGATGCGTCTACTTCCACCTACCCTCCCCAGCCCGTCGACCTTGTCATGGCCGATGCTCCCATCAGCCAACCCATTCCAGTTGACGGTCCTCCACCTCCCCATTCCCATCATCATCACATCGACTCTGGTTATGTGGTTCAGCCCATTCCCGCTGAGTTCCGCATCCAGGCTGCACCTTCAAACGATAGTGTCGGCTGGATTGAACCACGAATCGCTTCACCAGGTGTCGACGGTCGGATTCACCAATCTATCGAAACTCCGTCGATGAGAGATCCGTACTCGAACCAATTACCCCCTGCTCGACCAGTCGAGATGTCTCAAATGAGGTCCTCGATTGACGCCACCAATGATACCCGCCGGCACTCCATGTACCACGAGCACAGCGCTCCTTCGGCCTACAACGAGCAGCACTTGCCTCATCCGCATAACCAGCAACACCTGCCGCAAGCAGACCCCATGATCGACCCGCGTCTTTACTCTGCGCCGATGGACGCGTCGGCCGCACATCATGAATATCAACAACAGGCTTACGGTCAGAGCCAGCAGGGCTACCAATTGCCCAGCATGCCTATGCAAGGAGGACCCATGGCACAAGTCTCTCCCCAGCTGCAACAATCTGGCTCCACATCTCGCATGCCATTCACGAACCCTTCTCAGGACAGGAGCTCGCCGCTTCCACCCTTGCGACCGTCCCGTGGCCGCAAGAGTGCTCCCGCTGCACCAGAGCAGGGTGTTCAGATCGAGCAACATCAAATTCAGCAGCAGCAACAGCAACAGCAGCAGCAGCAACAACAGCCGCCGCCGCCACCTTATA